CCTCCTCTTGGCAGAAATGCATTCATAGCTCAGCACAAGCCATCTCATGCCACTTTATGATGAGACAGGGGCCATGACCTTAACAGCCACATGGCACTGCATGCATATTTCCATCTTCCCCACGTTGCTCAAGACACTCTGCAATCAAAGCACAACGCTAATGACGTGAAGTCAAGCAGGGAAACCCAGGGAATGCTGAAATTACAGCCGGGCACCCACCGTTAACTCTGCTGTGCACCTGCACAGCCCTGATGTTAAAGCTTTTCATCCTGTGAGCATGGTCCTGGTAAGGTCAGTCCACATCCATTGTGTGCTTGCTGGGCTGGAGTTGTTCAGGAGAAAGCTTGTCTGGGCTACCAACCGCTGGGGCACCGAGCTCTTACTTGGTTTGTTGTGTTTGGGTTTTTTCCTGTGCAAACACTGCTCTGTGCAAGAGCTTTGCACTTAACTGTTTAGTGACATGAACTTAAGAAATGAACAACTTAAGAGATAACTCCTACCCTTGGTTTTGCTTTCTTTACCTTCCCCTTGGTTTTGCTTTTTTCACCTTCAGCTGTCACCTTTTCCTTTGAAAAATCACACCTTCAAGAAGCAAGGAAACCCACCCGGCCTAACTTTCTAGTATTTAACCCCCTAATGCTCCTTCTCCCAAGGAAATCTCTCTGGGACTGCTGCAAATCCAGCAACCACCCCACCGATACCAAGGTAACAGAAAGATGCCCTCTTCTCAAATGGCTTAGCAGGCAAAGCTGGGGCAAAAACTTGGCAAAGCTAGGGAAGGAGATCCAGCAGAGAGAAATACCCCTCTACATGCTCCACCAGCCATGAAATGTTCTGATTAGGCATCTTGCTTAAAATATCCAAGCCAGAGGCTTTTGCACGAAACGTCTCTTGTGATGGGCATTCATTTCAAAGGTGTGCTCTGAATGGAAATCTAACACTGCAATCAATTTGCAGACGTTACCTGGAGGAATAAGAACATATCCAGCAGATATAAAATAACCTCACTAACATGCTATGCGGGAAGGGCACGCTGTCAGAAACACACAGGAGAAGAAAAGCCATGCTTGGAAGGACCCAGAGGCTGAAACAGAGACAAGAAAGATGGGTGTGATGCCTGCATACGAACCTATATGGGACATATCAAAACACTTGACAAGTCTAAACCCCAGCTCATATACACAAGCACAGGCCATTTTGCAAAAAGCCCATACCCTAGATTTTAGGAAACTGCATAAAAACAATTACAGAGCCAGACTCTGTGTAAAGCTATCCCCTGGGCTTTGCAAAGCTAACCACTCTTATCAGCGACTAACAGATTAGATACTCTTTGGAGAGCCACGCTGCCAAGACACCCAGTATGCCACTTTATGATGAGACAGGGGCCATGACCTTAACAGCCACATGGCACTGCATGCGTATGTGCATGAGCATGTATGAGCAACTTCCCCACGTTGCTCAAGACACTCTGCAATCAAAGCACAACGCTAATGACGTGAAGTCAAGCAGGGAAACCCAGGGAATGCTGAAATTACAGCCGGGCACCCACCGTTAACTCTGCTGTGCACCTGCACAGCCCTGATGTTAAAGCTTTTCATCCTGTGAGCATGGTCCTGGTAAGGTTTCTGCACTGCTCTGTGCATCGCAGAAGCAGAGTGGTATTAGTTGCTGACTACTGGGTATTTTGGGGGTTCCCCATGGAAATGGCAGGGATAAGCGACCCCAAGGGGACCTACTGGTAGGGCAGGCGCAGGCTTGCTTGCCAAGGACAGCATTCGGGCACCTTAACGCCACATCCCCCCAGCACCCCGAGGGAGGGTCCCTATCCCTTCTCCACCCTCAGAGGTGCCTCTGGAGGTGCCTGCCCCCTCCCCAAGCCCACAGGTGAGACGATAGAGCAACCCTCCC